GCCTTCTTACTTTAAATTGACTTTTTTTTCTTTTGAAAGCTGAAACTCTTAAAAATTTCTTTTTTTACCTATCATAATTCTGGAAATTTTTTACTAAGGGTATAAATGATGGTGTTAAACATCCAGAGAACCTGGGTTTCCACTCTTACAAGTCCTCTTTAAATATCCAGGGTGAACATAATGAAACTTTTGTTTTTCAGAGAGATTAGGTAGGGGAAAATAGCAAACTATATATAGGGAAAAAGAAAATTGGGAAAGTGTAACTTGTCCTATACACAGTCATTTTTCATTCACAGTCAGTTTTTCTCACTCTTACATCTAAATTTTCATCAATCATCTAGTTAACAATAGTCACTACTTTTGTTTTAACTTCTTAATTTTAGACTTGTTCTTTGAAGGTTCTATCCAAAAAGACTGTTGATGAGAGGGAGCAGGGCATACATTCCAAGTCATAGAGCCAGTTCCCTAAGACAATACCAATGCAGGTGAAAATAAATTGTGGTGCTAATTAGCTTAGTAGTTTTTATTTCATTTGGAAAAACTGTAACTGACTTTGATAATACCTGAAAGACAGAAAGAAAAAAAAAAGCAATTAGATGTGTACTTTAGGGGAAAAATAGCCATTGTCCTGACATGGTGGTCAATTTAGACTTTCGGAAAAAATCCCAGCTACCAAAAGCTTGCTCTTTATAGATGCAGTTCTCCGCTCATCTCTTAAGGGACACTGGTGGCTCTCCACACCGTGTGCAGACACAGAGTAGCCACTTTCTCCAGGACTGGGAAGGCTGCACAGGTGACCATTCAGGATTCACGGATCTTTTCCACACATTTCCAAATTGACAAAAACCTCCTGTTACTACAGTAAGTCTCATTGCCAGAGCTGCCTGGGAAATATGCCACAGCAGAGACCAAAGAAAGAGGTATGTATCTTCAGGTGAGATTCCTGAGTTATATTGGAGAGAGTCGGCTTTAACCTCTCTCATGGAAGTGGAAGCTCCTCTCTTTCCTTCCTGGGCAAGTAGAGGGAAGATAAATGATAAAAAAAATGATTAAAAAAAAAAAAAGTGAAAAGTCTCAGGAAAAGAGAGAAACTGATGGTATCCTTGGTGTTCTACAGATGTCCTTGAAATACATTTTCTGGAGAAGGACTCCCTATTTGCTTTGAAGATACAATAGCTATGCTATTAGATAAATATAATTTAAGATTGATAGAGTTACTTAATGCAGTTAGCCACTTAACATTATGAAGTGATCTTTTTCTCTAGTATTTTGTTTTCTTAAATTCTTAGTAATGCTTTATAGATCAAAGAGACTGAGAGTAAATACATTGCTTAGCAAAGCCTGGTATTAAATTTGTCAAATGAAAACAGTATGGACTATTCAAATGTTCTAATCAGTCCTTACTTTTTCTTTATACTAATTTTGATTCAACTCATTGCTAAAGAATAAATTATTTTCCTCCAGGATATATGCCTTAAGTTAAAATGTCTTCCTTACCTTTTCTGAATAATTGAATTTTATTTTATTCTTTATCTCATCAAATGGATAAATATAAAATGCTAATTTTAATACAAAGTAGAAATTAAATATAAAATATAGAGATCACCCCATCATAAACCATCAAAAATTTTATAGGAATCCTAAAAAACATAGCATCAAATCATATTGCTCTGTATCTAATACTGATGATGCTTATATTATAAAATAGACCTTATTTCAGAAAACCAACCCAGTTATTAGTCATCAATTTAGTCAAAGTATAAAGCATAATATCTGATCTCACCACATTTTGGAGCCTCTCTGAGAAGACAAGATACATTCTAGTTAACTAAAAATATAAAAATAATGCATTCTAAATAACAAATGAATAGTATACATAGTAGGTCCAAAAGCTGTAAATGTGTTTAAAATGCAGAGTCCCAAACTCCACTCCCAAATATTCTGATTTAATACCTTTGGAGGGAGACTTGAGCATCCATAATTTTAGCAAGCTGTGGATTCTTATGCACAATCAGAGTTCTAAACAACAGGTGTCAAATATTAATATACATGTTCAGAGAATACAGATCAATGTGGATAATGTTATGAAAATTTTCATGGAGATAAACAGATTACTGCTGACTCTTGAAGGACATTTCCTATCAAAAATTAAACCCTAATTTTTTTTTTTTTTGACACTGCTGTTACACAGGGAGCCATCTTGTCTCCAATATGATGATTTTTGATGTGAAGATGGTATCTTGTTTTATTCCTCTGAAAAAACAAAAAACAAATCCC